GGTTGAATTCCTTCTCCCCATGAGAAGAGGGTTCTTGATTATAGGGTATCAGCACCTTTAAAAGCTTCAGTGGTCATCAATTCACATTACCATTTATTTATTTGACTGGTTTATTTATGTTGTTGTTTATTTTAGCGCTTGACAACATCATATCCTGGAGAACAGAGAGACACAGTCCTGCAAGCCTACATCAGTAATGACCTCCTAGACTGCCACAGCAACTGTCAGGTCAGCTGGAAAGGGCTTTCCTCCAACTTGTATGTGATATTGCTCACTTGTTTCTATAAAGTGCTGATCAAAAAAAATTTATCCCTCTCTGGAAAGGAAAAAAAAAAGTAGTAGTGCCAGAATCATGTGATACATTTAATTTCTGCATCCCAATCTTTAAATGTGACAGGCAAAGCTTTGTGTTACCAGAGATCTCAGTGTAGATACAGTTCTTGTAGGCAAGTGGAAGTTTGTCACCTCTCCTGGTGCTTCATGTCCGTGACTTAGGAGTTAGCTCTTGCTTATCAGATGCTATGTCTCTTTTTGAGTGATTATGTATTGTTACATAATACTTTCAATCCATTTCACTGATCTAGGATAAGAACTAAATTAGGACTTCAGTCTCAATACCTCTATGGAATATCTGATTATGTACTTGTAATAACATGTTCAACAGTATTTCCATGAATTTGGAATGGATTATTACCTTTCTTTAGAAAGGGTAATTGCTGGTATGTTGATTTTGAAAGGTTGCTTCAGTCATTGATAATCCAGTGCTATTGCTAACAAAAGTGCAACTTTTTTCATTTGTAATAGTGAATTTTGTGTACCGTTGAGTTCCCCAGTTGTTTGAAGCAGTGGGCCTACTTGTTACATTGTGGCTCTCATTGTCACTGCAACAGTAATTTCACTAGAAAAGATAAAGGATTATTAAATCAATTATCTGTTTTTCTCCCAGTAAATTTCTGTAAGAGGAAAGTTTTGTGTAAGTAATGCCTGTAGTAAAACAGATTAAAAATAGTTTGCAATGTGGTGTTCAGTTACTGAGCTGCTTTCCCGCATTTTTAGTGTCAAACAAAAGCATTCCTATTCAGATAAGATTGCTGCATTTAAGTTCATCAACAAAATTATGGATTTTTTTTTGTCACTGACTAAATATTAATTTTAGATATCAGCTTTAACTGATAACTCTGTTGGTTCATTATAATTCTCACCCTGCACCATGGAGCTTAATGGTGTTTTAACAGAGTGAGCTAAGGAGCTCTAATTTGCTTATTTGTTCATTTTCCATCTCTCCCTCAGCCTCCTGCAAATAAAAAAAAGAAACTGGGAAATTTTAAATATAAAGATTTTAAATTTTAAATAATATTGACATTATTTAAGATATCGATATGCATTCAAAGTTTGTTTGCAGTGAAAATTTAATGAAGCTTTTTAATAGAAGACTTTGTTTTTTCCTGCTTTGGTGAGTTTTTATTAATGTTTGCTTTCTTTTTCAGAGAAGTGTCCTCAAATTATTACATTCTAAGAGTGAGGTAGTCAGACAGTATATGGCAAGGCTCGTCAACACTTTTGCTTCACTGGCAGAAGGTAAGAGATTTGCTGCAAAAAAGGCTTAGAGGTACTTCACAAGTACATGTCACTGCATGTGGAAATTAAGAGCATTATTTGCACTCTTTCTCTAGGTATCCACTGTCTGTTACATGTATTCAAAACAGTTTTTCGGTATCTGGAAAGTTTTCATTTTGACACTGTATATTCAGCATTTCTGACTTCTTTTAATGATTTATGGTCTATGTGGGAACTTACCCAAGTGCTGCCTTTAATATAGTCTTCAGTCTCTTCATAAGAGTTAAAAAAAAAAAAGAAAAAAAGAAAAAAAGAAGAAAAATCCCAGTTAATTAAAGGTCCTGTAGACCTACCAGGCTGTGCAATAGTAGTTAGTGCAGCTGCTTTTGCATCTTCCTGGTCCTCACTTGAATTGATCTTTGTGCATCACTGCTGTTTCATGGAATATATATGCAGCTTTGTGTCTCTGCCTGTCCCAAATTAGCCCTTGGTTTGGTGCAACTTATGGAGCTAACTATTGCTAGGAACTGAAATCTCATTTGAAGTCAATAGCAGTAGGGCACCTAACTTTCCTGAGTTCTTTGGACATCTCTGCTCTTTTCCTAGAGTGTACAAAATCATGATAGATCAGAAAGCATGTACTGAAAGAGGAATAAGGGATTCTGTGTGGTACTAAGTTGGCAAGTGGGGACCTCTAATGCCTCAAGTGGCTGGATTGAATGCAACTGGTCTGCTAGAAAACTCATTTGTGCAGGTTTATTTGGGTCTTGGCACAAGACTGTGGCTTGTCAAGAAGAAACTGAGGTCAATCCTGCTTACTTTTCCAAGTAGAGGGAGCTTTTCTGTCATAAGCTGATATCTCAGCATCTGTTCTTTCTTTGCTTTTTGCACCAGGTCGTGTCTACCTTTCTCAGAACCCAACATTGCTGCGAATGCTGGAGGAGAGACTGAAAGCTGAAGACAAGGATTCCCTTACATGGGAGAATGTTCTGGGGGCTCTGCAGAAATTCAGCCTCAGGTGATGAAAGCACAGCAAGCAGTGGTGACAGCAGGAGAGGAAATGCAGGCTAGTTAGGCTCTGTTCAGGGAGGAAAGAAGAGCACTTGATTTTCCCATAACAATCATCAGAACCTCTGATAACTGGTGAAAGCAATGTCATTTATTATGGAGGAGAACTTGGGTTTGCTGACTGAATTAACCTGACTTCCTACCAGCTGTCAAGACTCAAGTAAATGTACATCTGCCATAGCCTCGTGTGCTTTATATGTATTCCTTAATTGAACAAAATGAAAATCTTAATATAGAAAGTTCTGAAGATCCTACATAGAAAAAAAGAGTTGCATTACATTCCAAAGCATAAGGTTTTCATTATCCTTTCTGGAAACATTTTTCAGGGATTTCATCCTCATCCTGTTGATCCTCTTTCTTGGAGCTGACTATGCATGGGCTGTCTTATTTCTTAGTTTTGTATTAGCAGTCTGACTCAAATGCCTGCCACAAAAGAAATACCATGCAAAAGCAGTAAAGGGTGTGATGTTGTTCCCATTTATCAAATAAATATGAACTAAGAACACTGTTTTCACAGTACTCAGGAGGAATATTCAGCCCTGAATAGTTAACTAATTGTAAGGAGGCAGATGGATATGTTTCATGTTTCTTCTAAATTAAGACTGCAAGTGTTGGGGTTTTTTTATTTGTTTGCTTGCACATGTTGAAGAATGAGGGCTGCTTTTGGATTAGCCTTATTTATAACTTGGCTAGGTGAAGAACATGTAAATGTGCTTTGGGTAAAATTCTGGACTGCTTCCTGACATGGTACCTTATACATATTTGAGATGAAAGAGAATAAATCGTCATGCCCTACTGCTTGAAATCCTAAAGCAATCTTAGAGAAAATGATTTTTCTATTAAAGCAGTTGTTGATAGTATAAGTTAGTTTGAATTTTGGGGCCTAGGCACTAAGCTACTGAAAATTTGAAAGCTTTTTACTTTCTGAAAAATAACAGTTAATCTTATAGAAGGTTAATTCCAGATGCTTGACATGAGGGACTCTTTTTTTTTAAATTTTTTGCTCAGTCCGTGCCATAGACCTACTGCAAGATCTAGGACTGAGAAAGTGAGCTTTCAGAAGTAATCCAAATCCCAAGTACTAAGACCAGGAAAATACCTGCTTTGATCTTTGTCATTTAGACTTACTGCCCATTGGAAATAATGTGATTGAAAATGGTGTTCTTTAGGAAGACCTTTCTACCGCTATACACTTCTTTTTTGTAATGTAAAGCAAGGAATTTCTGTTGTAGGAGATTGACCAGGTTGACCAGCTGGCACTTTATTCAATATAGTCTTTGAGGGCAACTACAGGTTGAGTTAAAAGAATATGTGATTTAAGAATTTCTAGAGAAAAGAGCATACACATTTAAGTAAAAAATCTCATTTGTCAAATCAACAGTGCACAAGTGCTATAGTGCTATGGGTACCTATGGCAGAAATAGTAATTAATTTGTTTTATGGGTCTGTTGTGTGCAGCTGGCTTTTTTTACCAATTTTAAGATGATAGAAAATTCACTTTTAGGTGGAGTTAGAAGCTTTAGAAAACAATGAAGAAGCTTACCTCGCAGTTTGCAGGTTTAAAAAAACAAAACCCAAAAAGACCCTCAGCCCACCCAACAATGTTTTAGTCTTCTAACCTTATGGGAATCTGCCTCTTCAATTTCTTCAGGCTTTGTTAATTCCTTAGTTTAACTGATTTTGCCAAATAGGTAATTTGGTGGGTTTTTTTGTTGGCAGGCTAGTGTATAGCAGGTAGACGAAGTAGGGTTTTAATGTGCTTATATTAGCTATAAATGTATTTGAAAGCTATGATGTGGTCTGATTTCTGTGTGCTTTTTGGTTTTGTTTTTTTAATCCTAGGCGTGCACTGCAGTCGGAAATGATCAAAGATGGGCTCATTTTCTGGCTGGTTGATGTTCTAACAGATACAGATTGCCTGTCTGATTACACGCTGGAATATTCCGTTGCCTTGCTCATGAATCTTTGTCTGCGGAGTGCAGGTATCTTACATTTTGAATTACAACCTTATTCCAAGAAATGGAGAGGGAAGATTGTGAATCCTTTTTTCTGATATTCCTGAATTCTTTCAAGTGACTACGATCAGTAATAGGGACTCACATAACCAGAATGTTATAACCAGTGCTTTTGAGCAGATCTCTTTCCCAGGAATCCCAAACTATGGAGGTTAGCTTGACCAAAATCTAAAGAATTAAGAAAACAGTTAATCAATAGATCCCTCTAAGATTTGATTCTTTTTTTGTATCCGTATGTGAGGACTATCATTCCTACATTCCAGGCCCACTTTTCAAAAGGCACTTTTTACTTCTGTAAGAGATTTGTTTGCATAAAAGAAAGCCAGAACCGAGTTGATCAGTAACGGCAAGGAGCTTAAGCTTCACCTCTTGGAGGTATTTAAAAGCATGCTTCGCTTCTACAACGCAGAAATTCCCCCCAAGAAAATAAGATCATGTCTATGTCCAAGAGATTGAAAAGAAGCTTTAAATAAGTTTTCTTTTAAAAAGGAAGGGGTGAAAAATTGACTGCTTCACATAAGCAAAATAACGTCTTTGTTAAACTTTTCAGAATCCCTTTGTGTTGCATCCTGTCCAGGATTACGGCTGTGTAAATCCAGAGCAACTCCACTAATTTCAGTTTAGTTATGCTGAGCAGCATTTGGCAGGGACAAGGAACAGTATTGCTCTGTGTAAATTATATTTAGCACTGATTTTAAGAAGTAAGCAGCTTGCTCTGATCTGTTAGATTTTTTCAAGCATATTTATGTTTTATCCCTTTGCAGGGAAGAAAATGTGTGCAAGGATCGCAAACCACGTGCTCAAAGTTCTCTCTGATCTTCTTGGCCATGAGAATCATGAGGTATTTGTACAGGAAACTTTGGGTTAAGGAAAAGGTGGAAAGAAAAATTAAAGATTAAAAAAAAGCAGGAAAGGAAGAAATGAAAAAAAGTAAATTGGTTTTGTTCCCCTTGTTAGACCCTCATGTAATTAAGTTGTGTGAAATTTTCCTAAAATTCACAATTATGTAATTTTTTTTGTTGGGCACTGGTCTTTCTAGACATAACTATGTCTTCCTTTAACAAATGTTGGTAGCTAAGAATTAAAGTCTTTTAGATGCATAGTTATCATGCAGTCCATGTGCCTTCTTGATTGCAGTTTCTGATGCTGTTTAAATGTCATATCACACCAAATAATTTCAAGCTTAACTAGTTCATTAGATGAACAAAGTGTGGTGCAAGCCATTATGCAAAACATCAGGTGCAAAGAAGCAAATTTACGTTTAGTTTTAAGGAATATAAGAAAGCAGTACACCTGTGACATTCAAGCCCTAATATGTTTTTATCTGCCACATCATTTAACATGCTACTTAACCCTTTTGTCGTTCAAGTTTCTTTTCTGTCTTCAGACATGCTTGCATCTTAGATACTAAATTAAACTACCTCAGAGGAAAATGGTAAAAATTATTAGTTATTTCTACCTAATGCTTTTCAACACATCACTCTGGTAGCTGCTGTCTGCTATATACAGCATTGCTTCAGCTGTCTCTGCAGAGGGTTACTTCTTTAAGTACAGAATAAAATTCAAGGCAGGAGAAAATGCGGGCAAATATTGTGTGAAGTTGAAATTGTAGAGAGGCAGAATTTTTGCCAGGGTATTCCAGATTGATTCCTTGATGATTGTGCAAGTGCAATGAAATGTAAACTCTGGTGTCTCATGTTTATATACAATGATTTTATTATCAGGTTTTTTGTTTATCACTTAAACTGAAAATAGAGAATAAATTTGAATTAAGTGTTCACCCTGTATTTTATAAATTCATTGGAATATGTTGATCAGTTCTTTACTAGCAGTGTTTTGGTTAAGATGAAACTTGGCATACCTTTAATTGTACTGTTTCGCTAGCTTTGTTTTTATGAATGGTGAGAGTTAAGATAATACATACTAATACAAAATAAGATCCCAGTCCCTAGACTGAAGTATTTAGAAAATGCTATCATACTGTTGAAGTCTTGCCTTAGAATGGCCTTGAAATTCTCTCAGAGGGTGCATTCTTACAACCTAGTTTGCACCAGTGCAGCTGATAGAAGTTTTGTTATCCAAGTGGAAGGTAGAAGGCAATGTTCTTGGGGTGCCAGGAGAACTTTCTGAGAAGCTGTGGAAAAGCCCAATCCCTTATCTTTCCTTGCTTCCCCAGCCTAGCTCATTGTTCATTTTTCCATGGCTATAGACAGAGAATGACTGGAAATCTTAGTGCTCCAACAGTAACTGGCCAATACAAAGGGTCACATAAGTGCTGATAAAACTAGTTTGACAGATCTGGTGGCTTTCATGCCACAGAGCTTTCATGCCAGCTGTTTTTTTTCCTTTGCTGAGGGACACTAACAGGCAGCATAGTGAGAGGGTGTTTGAAACTACTACAGCTTTTACCATCCTGCCTAAGGCTACAATGCTTGAAGCCTGTCTTGAGCTCATCCTGACACAGTCTTGTCCGATTTTTGTCCTATTTTTTATACTGCCACTAGTGTCAGAAACTAACCTTCTTTGGTTTTGGCGGGGAGGGGGTTGGTGGTTGGGTTTGAGGGTTTTTTGGGTTGGTGGTTTGCTTTTTTTTTAGGGCTAGGTCAATTTGCAAGAATACATTTTCAGAAGGAGTGGAGGGGAAATCTGCATGCAGCAGTACTAATTTAGATCAACCATATCACAGTATATTTGCATCCTAAAAGTTCACTGCTTCCCAAGTGGGAATTTTTGCAAGTGCAGGCTAGCCTGATTAAACTCTCTGAACATAGTTGTTCTGCACCTTCAATCTTAAATTTTGCTCACAGTCAACTGGGGTGAATGTAAGAGTTTTTTCTCACTGGTACGACTATTTCTTCCTCTTAGATACAACCATATGTGAATGGAACACTGTATAGCGTTCTTGCCATCCCTTCTGTCCGAGAAGAAGCCAGAGCAATGGTAAGAAGTGCTGCTTTGCACAGCACAAAGATCAGTGCATATGCCAAAGATGGCATGCACACAGGGACCTGTTGAGTAGTGTGCAGTAGGGTTACGAGGTTGGAGCCATGGCATTTGAGAAGGGGATCCAAAAGAGGCCCCCCACCTTTGATATTCAGGCAGCTATGAATGCGTGTCTCAAACACTTTTGCCGTATTTGCTGGTCTTTTCCCAGAAGTGGAGCACCAGCAGTGTGAAGGATTCTATCTAAATCATACAATAGAGGTGTTATTTTAGAATAGTATTGTCCATCTAGCATTTTGTAGACTGGATATGGCCCAGGAGATGCTTTCAACTGACTTGCTCCTTCTTCCCCTTATTTAACTCATTCTACACCAGTGAATAGCCACTAAGAGGACGAGTTCCACTCATTGCATTTGTTTCTGCCCGGTATAGACAAGCTTAGCTGGGGAAGGCAGCAGGAGGAAGGTTTTAGTAGAACTAGGAATTGATCTGTGAAAGTTAGCCTAATGGTAATGAATGTGTTTTGACTTCTGGATTTGAGGAAGCCATTCCTGGGATAGTCTTATATCTTTGTATCTTAAGGATTAACCAAGAGAGTTATGCAATCATAATTGTTGTCAGATGTTTTACCTCACAAAGCACAGAGTGAATGTGTTTTGACTTCTGGATTTGAGGAAGCCGTTCCTGGGATAGTCGTATATCTTTGTATCTTAAGGATTAACCAAGAGATTAGAAGTGATCTTAAATGATTAAAGACACAACATCAGGCCTATAAGGGGCCACAAAGAGAGAAACTGGGTTTAAGAGAAGGTCAAAGTTGTCCTGTTTTTTGTTTTCCTTCTCTGAACCTTGCACTGTTGTATCTGTGAATGCAAATTTGCCCTTTTCTGTTGACTACTGTGTACTGAGTTCAGAAGGCAGAAGCAGCAGATCTATTGTAAAAATTTGCTGTTCATCATGGATATTTCTGTATTTAAATCTAGACAGCATATTTCTTTTGTCTTTGGAAAGTGTATGGACAAAATAGAGTGCTTAGAGCTGGACACGGTGGTTTGTTTCACACTACCTTTATTTTTCCTGACAAAACAATGACATTTTAGCTAACAAAACTTGGTCACTGTGGTCACATGAAATACTAATCTGGCAATGTTTTCCACTACATCCAGGGAATGGAAGAAATTCTGCGCTGCTTTATCAAGGAAGGAAATGCAGAGATGATCCGACAGATTGAATTTATTATCAAGCAGCTCAATTCAGGTCAGAAGAACAGGTGCAGCTATCTGAGCTGTAAATCTTTCACAAAAGCCATAAGAAAGCTCATGTTTTTACTTGGCGTTGAAACTCTCAAAGAATAATAGTAGCATGATGGTTTGAGAGAGGGTGAATAGTGAATGTGAGGATTTGAATGTCAGATGTGTTTTAAAATTTCCTTTTATGTTCTAATTCTAAAGAAGAAATAAAAGGTTGAGTAGGTCTAAATTTCAAAGTTTGGGGACTGTAAATAGAATGACCTTGACTGTTTTCTTTCATACTAGTGGTCTCACAGTAATGAGATAGTGCTGTCAATTGCAAAAATAAGTGACACAATTTATAAAGCAGGATTTAGGAACTAGGTCTTTCTCCACTCACCTGTTGCTCTACCGAGGTGTGTAGCTTTGGTCTGAAATGGCTTATTCTGAGCAGGGGACAGAGACCATCCTTTTGGAAGAGTGTGTTAATGGGTCATAGTAGTTGTAGATGCTGTGTTAATACAGATGAGTATGAGGAGGTGGAATATTTATTGTATTTTCTGTCCCCTGTGGCTGAAAGGAAGGCTGAAGAAACAGAATGCAAATAATGAAAAGGAGGCGAATTCTGATTAAAACTTTCTGTACGGTAAAAATAGAACAAGTTTGACTGCTTTCTTTGGCTTTTGGAAAGAGCCGAAGACAGCATATCTAATGGTCCTAGCTTGTAAAAGAACAAATAAAGTATGTAAGCTCTATATTGCCACTATGCAATATTTGTTCATCAGAATAATAGAATCGCTCCTTTTCTACCTGTGAATGGTATTTTTAAAAAGTTTTGTCTGATTGATGAGTAAAATTTGAGCATACAGATTTCCAGTATAAGCCTGGCTGCTTTTTTCTAAGGAAACTATTTTGTCTGAAAGTTACAATAAATATACTACGCGAGTACTATCTTTTTATGTATAAAAGCAGTACAATATTGAACTGCTTGCAGGGAGAAGTAGAGTCTTTTATTAAAAAATGATTGAAAAATAGACAAACTTGCAAGTGCACACACTTTCATTCAAGTCTTATCAGCAAATACACGGAGACATCATAGTGGGATTTATGAGAAAAGATCCATTCCAGAGTGTTTCTGTTTCTGCCATTTTCCCAAGTATTAATTGATTTCAGTGATTTCTAGAATGCTTTGTGGTAGCAAATAATTCCAATAGCTGTCCTAAAAAGAATGGGATGTCTATATGAGAAGCAAGTTAAATCTTACTGTTGTAAAAGAGGAGTGATAACTAGAGATTCTGTTAAGCTGCACAGGTACTCTTACACTATTTTGTTCTGCTTCTTTCTAGAAGAGCCATTAAATGATAGTATTGTGTCTGACGATGAAGAGGAAGAAGATGATGAGGAAGTAAGTTTAAAGGCCTTCAGGCACCTTTTAGAAAAATCCTTAACCTTCTAGACAGAAAATATTTGTGTCAATAACCCAGACTTTGGTTTTTTGGGTGGGTTTTTTTGCTTTGTTTTGGGTTTTTTACTTCTATTTAATTACCAGGGTATATTAAGAAGAAAATTGGATCTGTTTCCATTATCTTATCTTCATTCGAAGTCCTACTCTTTTATTTTGGCAAGTCACCACCTCTGTGATAAATAAAGATTATAGCTTGAAATAAGTAAAGAGATGAGGAGTTGAGGAGTTATTGTAGCAGTAGAAATCTTGCTTTCAAGCAGACCTACTTCAGCAGTTAAACAGAAAAGAGCAAATGAACCAGTATATTGCCAGGTTGTTACTTTTTCTTAAGGTGTCATGATCTGTTCGGTGTGACTTTTTATTTTGCTGTTTAGAAACTTAAAAATATATTTAATGAACTGTCTGTATGTAATGAAGGAAAGTAAGCATGAGAAACTATGTCATAGTAAATATAAACTGGTTAGCTGTTTTTTAGAGATTTTTAGCTCTGCTAATAAACACATTTTATACCAATACTTCAGCATTTTTCAAGAAGCTGTCTGCATAGAATAAGGGGATCCCAGGCATAGACAACACAATATACTTGACCATCTAAATTAACAAGCAAAGTAAGGTGTAAATGGTGCAAAGGAAATGTTAAACCCAGTCTTCACGGGTGACGTTGCCATTGCTACATTGCCGTAAGCACACGGGGTGGGGAGGGGTGTTGAAAATACACTGTGTAGGCAGTTACGTGGGAGTTTTATCTGGAAGAAGTCTACCACATAGCACTTTTCTTTTATTGAAAAGTCTTGCCTGAGAAATTTAAAACAGCTACAGTAGATGTCCTTGGAATAGTGTTTGAACATATTTAGATGGGTGTATATGTGCGCGTACGCTTGTATCGTGTATCTGCCCTGAAGAGGTCAGTGACATTGAGAGTTCGTGATCTCTGCAAAACGTTCTTATATTAGGAATATTACTGGAGAACATATTTACTGAAAACTAAGTTTTTAGACAAAAAGTAAGTATTTGTCCTGAACCAACAGAGAATAAAACACATAAAACTTACCAAGTCAGTTGTGTCCACGTTCTACTAGCTTGTTGCACGTTAACGCAAATGCTAGTGAACAGCGACAACCATGCTACATTGTAAAACTTGCATTGTCACTGCAGTGTGACTGAGTGCATTTTCAAGTGCACATTGAGTCCCTCTGTATTTTGAAAGCAGAGAAAAACGTAAGTATCCCACTCATAAAAGGTGTGGTGTGCTCTCAGCTGCCATGAAGTGCAGCACCTTGCAGGATCCAGCCTTTGCCTGGCAGTGTCTAGGAAAGTTTTGCACTAGTTGCATTACTTAGCTAGTTTCTGTGTTGTGGCACAATAGATGGTGAACATGTGAACAAATTACCCTTGCGACTTTGCCTAAATTTAGAGGTGTGTGGAAATTATAAGTTTAGAGCTACAAGGGGGTTTTATTTAACAATCTGCTCTCCCCCTTTGGTTCTAAAAGCTGTTTTTTTCTAATAAGATTAGATAATTGTAATTGTTTCACCTTCTGCAGTCCTGAACTGAGCTTGTGGTAATCTTTCCACTCCTCGCACCCAAAATCAATGCTTGATGTGTAAGATGGGCTTTCTGGGGATTAATCATTAGAACTTCCCTTTGTTTAATAGGCTGCTTAACACCCTTTAATTGATGTTCCAAGGCTTTCAGTGTCTTAGGTGTATGGGAGAATCCAAGGTGGTGATATTTTCGCTTGAACTCTAGTATACTTTTTTAAAGGGGACTATGTTCTGTTGGGAAAGTACAGAAACAAGGAATGCCCTCATGAAAGGTGTGGCATTGAATTGCATGATAGTGTTGAACACTTTCGTTACTTTACCTACTCTTGGGAGTGACAGGGAGGTGAATTCTCCTATGCCCTAGACAAGTTGCTGCTGCTCACGATCCCAGCCAAAGCTCTAGGTCAAATCACTTGAAATGCATTTTTACCACTGAACCATCATGTGATTAAAATGGACTTCTGTCACTTCTTATTATTTGACTCAAAAATAACAGTAGGCTTTTGAAACAGAGAAGCGTCCGATTCCAGTTTTTCATTAGCTTTGCAATTATATTAAAAAGAAAAAGTTCTCATTAAGTAAATTTTAAAACTGTTTCTAGTGTAACATTAATTGTAGCACATTCTAAATCCTTATTGCTGCTGGGAACGATAATTCTGTTCTGCTGCAAGGAGGCCTGGTTTCTTAGTCCCTTGGTTTAGAAAATACAGTATACAAACAGCATGGCAGCAAAATGCTATGCAAAATGCATAATGCTGTTACTTCATTAAATAAGCAAAGATTTGTTGACCCACTGCCTTAATGCTTGGAGGCCTTTTGTATTTTGGAAATGCTGTGAGTTATTGTTCTGCGATGGGGTTCTGTGATAACATCTGATGATGTGATCTGGCAACAGAAAGTTTTGGAAAACTTGATCAGAAGCCTTGCCTTTACGGAACTTAAAAACAACTACAGACTGGATGTATTTCAGAATTTGTCTGCATATTGACAATTTAATGACATGCATTCAAACTGCTTACTAATATTACAATTTGTTGCTGATCTACTTAATATTTATACCTTCACAACTTAAGAAACAACAAAAAGACTCTGTTATGCAGGCATAGTTTGCAGATTTTGCCCCAGCTTTTATTGTTTCCAAGGTTCCCCGTGCTGTTACTATTCCTTTCATGGGGTTTTTTTGCTTTTATTTGTGTTTAAATCAGAGTTGTTGAATTCTGTCTTGGCTTTGAGCAGATCTTGTGGTAATGACTACTTTCTCCTAAACGGTGCCGCCAAGATGTGTTTTAGGACAGTTCTGGGATTTCTAAGGGCATCATACTCAGAAATTTAAGATTCTGTAATGTGTGACATTGGAGCATATAAACTGAATTTAAAAAAATGGCTACTCATATACTGTTATTCAGAAATAAATTGGCTTTCAGGTTTGTCTGCTGAGCTTTAAATTAACTAGTGTAGAGCTCAGGATGCACTGGCTTCTGGGGTACCTGCCCACCTTCGTTATGTTAGCCATCTGGGGTACGTTGACACCCACAGTCACAGTGCATATTTTCTGGTGCTTAATATCCCCTTGACTGTTCTGTTAAATACTAACTTAATTTATCATCACTATTTGATCTTTATATTTGCTTTTTGTTTGACTTGGACCATCTTTAAAAGCTGCTTGTAAAAGTAAGTATGTGGTATCATAGCTCTAATTCAAAAGTTTAGTTATAAACTTGAGCTACATTAGATAACAGTACAGTGACAGTTTATCAGACACCTTCCAATCCTCTGTCAGTCAGCACCTGGCAATAAAATGAGTAAACTGCAGTGTGAAAGCACACTTCAGCTAGAGAGTACATCAAAAGAAAGAGACCTTAATCACAGACCGAATCGCAGGACTTCAAGCCGTTACATTGAAGGACTGCTGCCAACGCTTGCTGCAGCCTGTGAGCAATGGTGAACAGGGGCCAACTGTGTTATTCCAGCAGTGGAACGATGTCATGTCTGTCAGAGCTTTTTTTCTGTACAAGGAGGCAGAGGAGGGACACATTCAGACTCAGTTACCTGGTATGTTAAATAATGTCAGGGAGCAAGGTTGGCAGGGAGAAGTACTTCCCAGAAACCAGAAACTGCCATTCTCTGACAAAAAAAACCCCAGAATATTGGAAGAGGTGGAACGTGGGGAAACCAAGGCGATCTGTGAGAAGTTAAATACATCATGCATGGAGAGAGCTGGATGAAAGCTCAGGCTGATGTTCTGACTGTAAGGTGTAACACCCTACCCAGGCACAGGGTAGGCAGTCTTCTGTAAAGCATCCTTGAAGAAAACTGTTAGCTCTTGATGCTGCATTAACATACCATAGAAAAAAATTTCCACCAGACTATTTATAAAGCTCATCTTTGCAACTTTTAATTTTTTTTGTCAAAGTACAGTATATTGTGGAGTTTGGAGTACGGATTTTTTTTTTTTTTTTGCTTGATACAGATGATTGTTGCTTAGTCTACAAGTGTTTATCTGTGTTATTTTTCATACCTACCCAGCTTCCTGGGTAATTAGGAGATGATTGTAATTTCTCTTTTCTTGGAGATAGAGGCAGATTGAACATCTCCCTGAGGTCCTATACAGCCTTATGTTTTATGGCTGAGCATCTAGAGAATACATCTTTAGGAGGATGAAGAGGATTAACAGTCTGGTGTCTTCAAAACACTGACAGAAGAACTAGGATTTTTATTAAATCCATGCATAAACAAAAGCATTACAGAAAAATTTTACTCTAAACCTTAGAATGCTGTGTGGATTATTGGCAGTATTTCTGTAACTGCTTCAGTTGTTCTCACACAGGCAGCTGATGTCTCTTAAGATTAACTACAGCATTGGAAGCACCTGCATAAGGCTGTGGGATATCATTTGGGAGCTGTGGGAGGCTTGCGCCCTTTCAGAGCCACAATGGAAGACCAGGCAGAATATTTCAAAGTAGAACTGGATGGTGCTGTGAGCTACTGAATTGAGCCCTTTGTGTCTTTACTTTTTATCTCTGCTTGACGCCTGTTGAATGAGGAGGTGATGAGCAATGAGAATAACTAAATCAAAACAAAAACTATGGGTTTTAAGCCATTTGGTAACTTGAAAAAAAAAAAAAGCAAGCCTGTATAACTCTGGGGAAGCCAACACCTACTTGGTCTGAGTGATGGTAGTCTCATTATTTTGCACCAGACAAAGACTGGAATCAGTCACCCATTTCCATGGTAGGAAATACCTTCCCTGTACATACTTCCAATGTTTTTTTCCTCATGCTGTTTTTGTAGAGCACTGTCCAAGCATCCATATTATTAGCTAATCTTTGTGGCAGAGGGTTTTCTTACTTTGGCTATTTAAAACTATTTGAGTCTAAATCTCACTAAAGCAAAACCGTTTTTCATTGTCTTTGTGCTCTGAGACTCATCAAAGTTTGGTGGTAAATGTTTTTAATGGCTTTTATGCCAGGCCCTCTACGTTACTATTACAATATACCTTATTAGAATGATTCATTTACTTTTTCTGACAGTCATTTACATTACCTGTCACAACCTGTTTCAAAAGCAAAGCACATTTTCTTCATCTGGGGTGGGTCTTATTTCGGGCATCTTTTGCAGCACAGAAGAGAGTTCTTTTCAGTAGCAAAACAGAAGCAAAAATACTGTCTTGTTCTTGTATTACTACTTTTGGTTTGCTGGAGGACTCCCTCAAACTTAAACATTTCCTGGCTTGTAGATCTGTAGAAGCTGCAGAACTTCCATGAAAGATGAAACACCCGTAGTTAAACTAGAAATAGGCACAGGAGAGTGAATTCTTGGTACTTTTCACTTCAGAAGTTGACTACATTTGGGGTTTGTGGAATAAAGTCAACAGAAGTTTGTTGCCTTCCTGTATGATATTTGTATCCTAAAGTACTAATTCCAAGAATTTTGTACCAGCCCCATGCTGTCAGTTTTAAAGCTTCCTTGCAAACCTGAGTGGCTGCTGCGTCTGCTGCTTCACATTGCTCTGAAACCAGCCGCTGTTGGACACCCATGGTCTCACCTTTCGGAAACCACTGCTTGAGGAGGGGTTTTGAATGCCTGGAAATAAGGATTTTTTTTGTTTTGAGTGATTAAAAATTATGCCTCTACTTCTTGAAAATTAGTAATAAGTTTGGGGGTTTTCTTCCTTCTTGGGGAATAAACAGCAATAAATTACTTCAGTGTTTTTGTCAAGGTAGAGGGACATACCCCAAAGTGCTGAATATGCAAATGGGCATTTTGATCGCATGGAATGCTAGCTTTATATTCAGGAAAGATTATGAATTGTTTTAACGTGCGCTTATCTTATTTTTACTGCTAGTTATTACAATCTAACTTAAATGTATGCTTTTATTACTGTCAGATGATACTGACACATAACAAGATCCAGAGGAGGTTTCTATCAAGCTTCCTACTATCGTCTTTGCTTGAATGCTAACTTCCTTGTGCACTTTTTTTTTTTGAGTTGACTTACCTGAAGTTTTGGGTTTGTTTTTTCTTAAAATGAGGGTAGCCTTTTCCCAGCCTCCAGTGTGGCTGAGAAGTGCCATCAGGTTGGTTTTTTTTAGTCTATGTATGACTAGATTGACTTGGGCAGATCTGCAAAAACTAAAACTCCAAACTTCATATCAGCTTGTTAAGGATGGAGCATTGCATCTCTTCACACTAGCATGTTTTGTTCTACAGAGATACTAATGACCAAGATTTTTCCTGAGCCTTTATTAAGTCAAGCAAGGAATAATTATTTGGGGTTGGAAACTTGAAGGAGAACAAATTTTGAAATGCATACAGTACTTTTTGGCATAGCATTTGTGGGAAAAAAGGGTGGGTTTTTTTCTTCTCTCAGGATTCCTTATGGTTATGTCAGAAGTTTAGGTGAGTTTGTCTTTAGGTGTCTGCTTTTTTGGCAGAAAATGCTTGCACATTACCACTTGCATATGCAGTGCTAACAGTCATTTATCTGTACAGTACATATCATTCAAATGACTCCTGAAGTGAGTACTAAATTTGAAATGAAAACTTCTTGGAACCTGGGCTCAAATAACATGCGCGTTGCTGTTTCAGGAGGACCATGACATCATGGAGCCTGATCTGGACAAAGATGAGGTTTTGCAGCCTCAACTGGGAGAGCTTGCAGGAGAGAAGCTGCTAACAACGGAGTACTTGGGAGTGAGTACCACTCATTAGGATCTTGAAATAAAATAATTTCCTGGATTAAGTGTTTAATTTCAGTACTTGCATCACTTTCTGAAATCTTTTCTTCAATTTGTTGCTTGAAGAGCCAGGTTCTACCGGCATAGCTGTCCAACACGGTCTGCTTTATGCTGTTCAGAAGAAGCAGAATAAGTTTGCGAAAGGTAGCTACCCTTTCACAGGAGGTGGTCAGGTTGTGGCTTAATAATAAGCTAAAGGCAGCCTTAGGGTTCTGGTGCTACATCAGTGACTCTGTGGGCACACAAAGCAAAGTGCTGAGCAAGTTAATACTGGAACATTCTGCTGGTCTGAAATTATTCTGAAAAAAAAGTTGAAAAGTTAACTGCTCCTGCAGGCGTTACACCAGATCAAGTATTGTATGTCTTACCTCAAAAAGCCATTAGGTAAAAAAGCGTAAAGTTTGCATGAATGCCATTTAGTGTGCTGTGACTAATTTGAGATAAATGCAACTGTATGCCTTCTGGATCCCTGAGTCCATCCATCCACAAATGCTGATGATGGAAATGTGACCTGAGATAAGATTTCATGGAACAACCTACAGTGATTGCAGGCAATTTTATCTAGTGACACCAGAATGAACTTCGCTTCTGATGCAATGTTTCTATAGAATTTTCTGTATGGCTCCAGTAACCTGTCTTTCCACTGCATTCTCTGCCCTGCCCCGCCCCCCCATTTCTTTATTTCCTGTGTATCAGATAATGACTCATACTCCAAAACCCAAGAAGAAGCTGTTTCCTGGTGTCCATCAGAGTATAGATGAGCCTCTCCAGAGACCTGTGACGCCAGGTTATCACAGAACTGCGTACCTAATGTAAGTCCAAACAAATGAGACCAAGTTGGATTTTTTAGGCTCCTTTAAAATACAAAACAACAAAAAAAACCCAATAATGCCCGATAAATAAACCTACACTACCTATAAGTGCATTGCCATTGTTGTTCCTTAAACATAGTTTCCAAAAAAGAAGGGAGAGGAATATTGTAGGCAGTGAGAAGGTCTGTTGGCTGACGTCATGTACTTGGAATAGTTGAGTAAATGTTTACTGATCAGTTTGATTTAAATTTGCATTGTGTCCTGCATGGTCATAGTTCTTTCGTCTCATAACATATTCTACTGATAAGTTGCATGGAGTGTCTAAAATGCCTGGGATCTTCCACTTCATAAGCAAGAAAGTATCTTGCTCTGGGGAGATTTGCTAGCCACCTATAAGAGGACAGATTAAAAAGAAAATGGGAATGACAGAGATCTTGTTATCTCGGATATCCTGCTTTGGAAGAAATAAATTTTCTAGTGGGCAGGTCTGCAATACCTTGCTTTTGGCATGATTGAGGTCAGAGGTAGAAGGCTGCATTGTAAATGGAATAAAGAAATCTTACAGTATAGAGCTCCTTGAATATGCTCTGCCTTCTGTTAGAATAAGTATATCTTAATCTTTTCATTTCTGAGCTGAGACTTCTCCTTTTCACTGTCCTGACTGAGGAAGTAAAATACTAATGAGATCTCAAATGATTTTTTACTTTCAGTTACATACAGTTTTGGATTTGATCTAATCCAGGTATCTATGATATAGGTAGAAGTTTGTCATGAGGATTTCATGTTTTCATGTCTGCAGATACTTAAGCTGAGAGACTACAAGTCACTCTAGCAAGGTGTAGATAAGAGTACAAAAGTCACAGTATTGGTATAGCTAAGCACATTAAAATGAATGGGTAACCTGAAAAACAGCAGTGTAATGAAGTTAGAATGTAGAAGTTCTTAGAGAAACATAATCGGTCCTGATGGCTTTTGTGCTGTTCTGATTTTAGTACAAATTCATTTCCTAAAATGAGGAAATACTCTCTTAGGAAGCCTTGCAAGAGGAAGACAATAAAAGGGACCAAACCTTAGCTGCCTTAATTTGAAAACAATGTCTGAACTGGATGTATTTCATATTTAAAATAACTTAGGTGGCTTGTGTTTGTATCAGATGAAATGGCATGAAAAATGTCAGACTTTTTAGCCTTGCATGCAGCTTACCTATCCAGGGACAATCCAGGACAGTTGATCTGAATTATCTGAAGTTTTGGATTCAGCAGAGTAGTTAAACTACATTAAAAATCTGTGTAAACACTTGCATTCAGAATTGAAGTGAATATAATTTGTTTGAAGTTCTTCATGTGAGACTCAATGTAATGTATTCCATTTTAAAAGCATTTTGAAGAAGGAAGCTGTTGATGTTGATACTAAAACATATCTCTCTGAGTTGTTGGTTCATACCTCCAAAAGTGGTGGTGGTGGGGATTTCTAGTGCTGAATAGAAGTATTCACACAGAAAATTAATGCAGAAGAGCCACTGCACGTGCAGCAGCTATTCCATGCTAGTTTTTCTGTGACTTCCCAGTGCAGACAAGGCTCTAGTGACTTCAGAAGAATTGTCATGTGTATGGACAAGCTCCTGCAGTATGGCTGAGGGAGCCAGGAAATACTGGAAAGCTGTGCTTTTTTTTTTTTTCTTCCTTTTTTTTTTTCCCATCCTTTGTAAAGACTCACTGGCTGAGATCCCTCAAGGGGGACTGAACTACTTAATATTCTGCTAACTGTTTCCGTAGAAACTGATTTAGCTGTGAAATCATTAACTGCCTCCTTGGACTGCATCCTGTCTAACTAGAAATATAGTCTAGTTACCTTAGCCTGATACTGGGCAGGGAAACTTTCTGTGTCTGCCAACTTCTTTTCACAGGCTTTTCACACCCCTCTTGCTTCTGCTGTGTTTTATTGTGTATTACTAAGCAATCTTGTCCCTGTTCTGTCGTTCAGCTACTTCAGTTTCTCATTGATCTACCTCATTTGGGAAATCAACAGTTCTACTTCTTATCTACTTTAAGTCTGTATTGGATATTACTCTGTAAAGTGAAATCCTTTTAATATTCAGGAGCAAATCTTAAATCCTTGAAAAAGCTAAGTATTGAAGAGCTCTCAGGCCCCCTGCCACAGCATTTTTCTTTAAGTGTCCCGCTGGTATTTTGGGTCTTCAGACTGCAAGCAGTTTCCTTTTGTCAACTCTTTTATTGCAGTAAGAAAAAATGTTAATTGCAAATACATCTAACATCAGCTGGTTTGGGGAGCTACAATCATGCAGTTAAATTATGTCCTTAGCTCTAGTTTGCAATATGAAATACAAAATAATTTCAATATCTTCTATGCCATTGCAGGCAATTAAAAGACATTAGAATTTATTCTTGTGCAACTTTTAATACTGGAAGCATTCATCACCCTGCGTTCTCCTTTCTCCTCCAGGCCAGAAAACGATACCAGTTCTTGTCCTGATAGGGATGAGAAGCTGCAGTCTCTGCTGAGTGGTCATCCTCCCATCTGTGGTGGGAGCAGGTCCAGCATTTCTGACCTCTGCATTTCCCCTTCATGTAAGGATATTCTTTGAATGCTGCTGTTAACTGTTGCTGTCTTCCTTGACTGGGGCAGGTGTTTGGAGCCTAGCTTGTGTGTTGTAGATTTTTTTTTAAAATATAGCCTTGGAACTGGCCCTCCATTTGTAGAGGTAGAGGAACTGCCCCTCCATTTGGGGCAGTCTGCAAGACCTTGGGGCACACGAATATAGCCTTGGAACTGGCCCTCCATTTGTAGACCCTGGGGCAGTCTGCAAGACCTTGGGGCACACAGTTGGATTTTGAATTGTGCTGAATGAATGGCTACAAAAGGTAATGTGTGGTCAGCAGAGACCAATGGTCTCACTTGCCTCACTCCATTTTGCTTCCTGTGGAAGGGCCGACGATCGTACCCAGGGCTTCCAATGCCAGACCCTGCACTTCCCAACTGGCAAAGCTCCTTGCTTAATCAAATATACCCTTGTTTGGATCTAAATGAATCACTGTCTGCTGGCACCTGCAGGCTCTGTTGGCTAGACCTCTGTATTAAAGTTGAAGGCAGCTGCAGTTATCTGCTTAGATTTGCAACTATTCAAACTATAAAAGGTTGTGGAGGATGGGAAGCCCTATGTTGTATAGCTACATTGTGGGTGATGCTGCTAAAGAGGCTGTCCTTGCAACTTAAACTGAAATTAATGCAAACTCAGCTGGACCTGAGAGCTCAGAAACATGTGATGGAATTTAAAAAGTTATAGGCTTCTGAAATACTTTGTTCCTGAATTTCTGATATCCACAGGATCATGGAACTTTGGATGTGGGCGTTTCAACCTTCTTGCAGGGATTCATTAACATTTTCAATTAGGGATTTAAAGCAAAATGTTCTACAGTCTTAGATAAAGGATCTTGCAGCATATCCGGTACAGAATTATTAAGTTCAGACAAAGCATGCCTTTATTTTGCTGAAAAATATGCTTTGAAGCAGTAAAGGAATAGCATACTCTTTACTCTCTCTTCTGTTTTTTTAAATTTCCTAGAGGAAATGAAAAGGATTCTGAGAAAAGTAACCAAGGTTTTTCAGACAGGAATTTGCTTGCATAATACCTAGAGCTGATAAATATAACATGCTGAATGAAAGCCGTATGATAGAAGCAGATGAAGCTCCTGTTCAAGATGGGCACTTGGGTCCTCGCCGTTGTGTAGGAATGTGAGCTGCTGTCCTTAAGCCTCCCTTTGCACAGTAGCACCCTGAGTATAGCTGAGCCCGTTCTGCGGGGAGGTTAGCTGGCCAGGGGCAGCAACTCGGAACAGCAGAGGTTGTAAACTAATCAAAAGTGTACTGACTTGACCATTTTCCTATATAGAGGAGAAAAAAAAAAAGTTTTACATACTCATGCTTCATGAAGAAAATTAAGCCAAGCAGGTGTCAAAGGTGTTCCTATTTGCTCTTTTAAAATATAATTGGATGCAATTTCTAAGGCATTACGCAGCCACCAGGAGCCCAGCATGCCTTCTGAACCACATTTTGATAATATCTTGCCAGTGAAATGCATTCATTCACTTCTTGCTTTTTCTGTGCTGCTGCTGCTGTCTGACAGTTTGCTTGTAGAGATTTGCGGGGAGATTTAAACCAGGAGCCTGAATAAGTCAGGATAGTAAATTTTGTTCATTTTTGATGGCAAATATTGATTTAAAGCCTTCATGCTGAAGAACTTCCTGCCAACTTTAATGTTTCATATTGTCAAAACTTCATAGCCCCTGTCTAAAATACTTTGTTAGCTGTTTTCAGCCAAATTTATATGCAGGTGGATACTAATAAGACTACTAGATTATATTCTTTTCTTGTAGAAAAATCTTGGAGGTCAGAATATACAGCATATTGCAAGTTTATAAGCATTATACATGTAAAAAGACGAATAATATTTGTGTGTGGCAGGGACAATTCTTCCTAGCACTAATCCAGGCTATAAAACAACACTGAGGTACTTGAAAGATTGCCAGAGATTTGTTTCAGGTTTTTGCAAATAGCTAGTGAAATACGTACTTGTCTTTCTTACCTTTGGGGATTTAGAAATGAGGAGTGGAAGAAGAGAAAAGACACTGCACTGCTGGATCCCCTGGTTGTTCATGTCAGTGGTAGGACTTATATTCTGTACAATGATAACTGGACTGGGGCTTTGGACATCCTCTGTTTTCCAAACGGCAGTGGGTTTTGCAATTTTTAAATTGGAAAGGCTTTAATTTAAGACAATGGAAAATAAGCCCTTTCTCTTACAGTGCCTTCTAAGATATGGCAGGGAACAGTACATAACAGAAAGGAGTAAAAGTAATTGTACTGCTTCTTGAGACTCTCATCAGACCCTGCCAAACATCTTTTCTGTGAAATAAATATGCAGTTTATTGAGTTCCGATCTTGGTCTGACGGTCATTATGCAGTACCAGGAACCTGCTCACTTCAGAATATGTGTTTTCCAGCATCACATGAATACTTTGGGATTCAGAGTTTCATGCGGTCAAGTCATGAAATGAATAGTAAGAGACCAAGAGTGAAAAAAGGGTTGGAGTAAAAGCTTCTTGTGAACAGTTAGCATCATCAAGGCCATATCTCAAGGAAGCTAAGTTTAGCCTCAAGAAACCTTGATCCTCTTTTTGTTTTCTAAAAATGAGAGCAGCTCTTAATGTCCTCCATGCCTAGATATATTCGTCTGTTCTTGAGTCAGTTTGATTTTGTCTGGGTCCATCCACCATTTTTATCACTTTGGTAGAGAATCAATGATTCTGGCTCTTTTTTCTTTTTTGCCTCCTGTGAGCAGAAAACTTGCAGACTAAAGATGAACCCTGGCCATCTTACTGTACTTGCTATGCTGAATGTCAAACAGGACATGCACTGGGCAGCCAAATGCTTATCTGAAAGAGACCTGATCTGCATCCATATCAGCATGTGAGAGCAAATCAGGACAGCAACCTGTCCTGAGCATGGGAGGAATGGAATTAGGGATTTTCCCCAAACTGTTACTGAACACGCACATCTTGGTAGCCTTGTGTGTCTCAGCAAACTGACTGTCCATCCTTGCTCTATCAGTGCGAGGCAGAAAGTGAGGTATATCGAACAAATGTAATAGATCTGAAATCTGACAGAAGTGTAAAACACTGAGATTTGTCTGCAGTGGCTGCCTGTTACTATGGATATGTACAGACAACTGCAAGTGGTTGTATTCCTGCGGCTTTAATGAGATATTGGTCATTAGCTGATATATGCTAACTGATGGTCTGCATGCTCCTAGCCCGCTGCAAATGCAGAGTGTAGCTGCTTTGAAAATGATCCAAGCGCAGAGACAACTCCTCACTGAACTCTGTTTCTTTTTTAAATAGCAGTTGAAATGAAGTCATCTAAAGTATTCTCATCAGGCCATAGAACGGACCGAAGCATCCCAGCTGATGACAGTATCTTGTCTTCCCGATCTACTGACTTCACCCAGGACAAAGTAAATGGGCAATCACATAGGTATGATTTATCCAGAGGAGTATCTAAAAGTGCAAGAGGAGTCTGAGGAGACTTACCAGCTAATTCCATGCTGCTGTAAAGACAATCTATGAAGTCATTTGATGTATGATGTAGTCTGGTCTGAGACAGCTGTGGTGCTTGCCAAACAAAATACCCTTAGCTGTGCCAGGGGCAGCTGTTCAATTTCTAAGCATCTGGTCCAGAATGGGAGAAATCTCAAGAAAGACGTTATTAATGAAATTCACATTGTATGCACAATGCAGTCTTCTGCAAATAAAACTTCCTGATTGCTTCCTTAGGTGACTCGACTCTAACCCATAAAATATCATTTATTAGTAAAGAAATAGGTAGGAGTGTGGAACAGGGCAGGAATTAACTTGCAGAAGGAAGAAAAATTAAGCATTTAAGTGGATTCAGAGTGTTTAAACATGCTGAGTTGCTAGCACTGCTGACCAGAATCCCTGATTTATCCACTAGATGGGTATAGCAGGGGAGGCAATATTATGAGTTCTCCCAGCAGTGGGTTTCAACTCTTCCTTGAAACAATTTCTATCAAAAGAAGTTGAAAGATCTTGCTCTCCTCCTCCTGTTCATACCTTGAGCCCTCTGTGAAGCCTTTGTCATATGTAGGACTGTGAAGTTACATCTTGGATGAGAACTAGGAATTCATTAGCAATAGGGACCAAGGTTTACCGAAGTTTTTCAGGGCCTGCATGTGTCCTTCAGACATGAACAGCTTTTTCCTATAGCTAATTTGATTGGGCCAAGTTTTAAACAGTGAGTGTAGAGAAATTTTAAAAGCAAGTACATTCCAGAAGTAAAACACAGAATGGGTGGAGATGTGTTAAAGGAAGGTTTTACTAACCCTTTATGGATCTGATTTTTCTGAAGTGCTTAGTTATTCGTGTCAGTTAAAGCTCTAGCTCTTCTGAAAACTGGACTCTCTGCTTAGAGCTTTGCTTCCTTGTGGCCTACAGATGCCTGCGTGTGGTTTTGGAGGTTTTTTGGGGGCTTGGTGTGGTTTTGTGGGTTTTGGTATGTTTTTTGTTCCCGGTTGTGTTGTTTCCACAGTGAGATCTAAGGAATTATATACTGTCAACAAGTTATCACTGGTCAGTAGCTGAAGTGCTTAGTAGTCATACCCCTATCCCAGCATTGCTGGTTTTATTTCTGTTGCCTGTCCAAACAGTAGCTAAGCACATAGTACAAATACAAATAGACCATGAGAATTTTATGGCCAAATTGCTTGCTTTATGATGGAGGGAGAGATTATTTTTCAGGCTTTGGCTTGCAAGAAACAAGCCAAATTAGCAGCATCTTGCCCCCCACCCTGGTGAGAGGCTTTGCTTCTCTACAGTCATAATCTATTATTAAAAAGACATGTCCCCAGTAATCTTTAATTTTTCTTCATAAATGTATGTCTAAATCTCAGTCATATATGGATCTCTAACTGAAGGCACAGGTGCAGTATCCTGCAGAAGATGATAAAGCTTTTCATTGCGTGCTTCCTTGGCATGGGTACAGTAATTTGTATTTACAAGTGCAGCCTCGAGTTATGCATATGGGAATGTAGCCTTATACAGTCCAAGCGAGCACAGGGTTTCCTGTGTCAAGGGTCTTTTGTTAATATATTGGTGTTGCAATAGCTAGACCCGCCTTTTCGTTCTTTCATTCTTAAAAGCATACTTTAATTTGTTTGCAAAACAAACAGAGTGAATAAATTGCTGCTTTGGTCATAGTTTTGACCACTGTAAGAGACGTCTCTTTCCTGCTAGGCAAACACTGAGACCTTCATAGAAGAGGTATGTATGAGAAAAGGAGGGCTGAGTTGTGGTGATGAAGCAGTCACTGCTATTTTCTCTCTTCCTTAGCAGTATAAATTGGGAATTTAACTGCACAGAGATCAGTGAAATTATGCTAAATCCATCTGAGAGAAAAACGAGGCCCTAGCAGCGCCATGTCTGTTGCAGTTGTATTTCCACAGGAACAAATGATTGTTCGAAAAAATTTTTTTTTTTAGCCGATGTGTGTCAGACTGGCAGCTGCCCCTGCATCGCTAGTCCCTGCTGCATTTTGATCATGTAAGAATATAGATCTGTTGTGCTTTTTAGCTAATCCAGGATAAATTTGTAATAGACTTGACTTTACAATTATGGCAGGCTGAAAAAGCCCTTTTTTTATTGTGTCTATATCCAGTACCATCATAATAAACAGCTTAAACTCTGCAGGGCCTTCTTAGGTCTCTATTGGTCTTGCTTTTCCGATAATCTGGTAAAAATGGCCAAAAGTCCAAGTATATTTCTCTTGGAGGAAATGGTCTAACTCATCTTTGTGTGGTCAAGTCCTGTCATGTCTCCTGGTTGATTATTCTGATCCCAGTGTCAGTCTGTTGTGCGCTTTTTTTATAAACAATTACTTCTGGTTTCCCAAGTAAACTTCCTTCTCAATGCAAATGTAGGTTTCTCTGTGAGTTTGTTGTGGGTTTGTGTTTTTGTTTGGTTGTTGGGTTTTTTTGGTTTCCTTGGGGTTTTTTTGTTGTTGGAGCACTTGCTCTCAAATTACCACGCCTTGTTGTAAATGACTCCTTTACCAAATATTACGGAACATTTTCCCACAGTACCTTTTGCTGCTTCTTTCTTCATCTCATCAAATTCTAAAGGATGCCAAATAGCAGGTTTCTGTGTTATTCTGAGGATTAATTCTTTTCCTGTTGATGTCGGCCTATTTATTGATGTACTAAAGATGAGGTAGTTCTGTGACACCTGGGCACACAGAGACTGAGATCTGCTCTGCATCCTGTCAGAAAAACAACAGAGTTTTTTTCAACTTTACAGTGTTTGCTCCCATTTGCTTATTTCATATAACATTGCTACCAGCTTATTTCATATAACCCTTTCCTGAAGAGTTTGCAAAGATGTGAGCCATCCTGTGTGTATCTCTGGTAAATTATAGTGACTCTGGTTGCATTACTTCGCTTCATCTCCAAAGTGCCTATAGTCTTCTCTGCCATGGCTACTGCACTGAAACTCTGTGAAGGTTGTTGATGGCTATAAAAATGCTTTTTACTGTATGGGAATACAGATCCTGGGTTTCGTTATCTATTGCTGAATAAGGGAAAAAAAGCTCATTTGTGGCTCAAAAGCTGCTGTGAGGCTGTTGGATCTTCCTTTTTTGTCTACGTTAGCATATCATAGTACATGTAAGATTACCATGAAGAGCACTAGTGAATTGAAAACACAGCTCTTGAACCAAAGTGAATAAAATGACAAAAAAGCAATAACAATGAGACTATTTTATGGAGAGAGATATTTAAATATGTCTGTGGTCCACGGCTTGGGGTTTTATCTAGCCAATCTTACTTTTCTGGTTTTGTTTTGCTAATATATTTCTGCTGCCATCTGCCACCTCCTGCTTTGAAATGAGACACGAGTAATATTTGTAATACTCAGAGATAGGTAGAAGGCTGCAGAGATGGCTCTTGGCAGACCAGTTAGCATGTCTCTGTCCTTAACAGTTAGCATATACTTATGCAAAATACAGACAATTAATGCTATTTAAAATACAAAAGAAACACTTGCTCAATTCTCCCTGCAAGGTGAAGCAGGGGTATAGAAGGGCTAATCAGCACTGACTCAGCAGCATTCCCGGGGCAGGATTAAATGTCTTGAAAGTCCTCCTAATCACCCTTCCTGATGGTCACAAAGGGTTCTTTTGATGGAGCTAATAACACAGGGACTTTCCATTTTAATCTCCTGTCTTTAGATGGCACCTTTTTCAATCTCCTGCCTTTGGCTCTGCTTTTATTTCCTTTTTGAATATCATGAACTTTGTAATTTAGTTATTATTAAAGGTTAACCTTTTCTCCTTTTCAGAGAAAATTGACTCACTAGAGCAAACATGCGTATAGATGTAGAATTATTTTAGAGACTTGCTATTTCCTGGTAGCCTCCATTTTTGTACCTAGGAATGAATACATTGATGCTGGGGGCAGGGAAGGACGGTGTATCCTTACACAGTCATGCATGAAATTTTAAAGAATGGTATTCTTGCAGCACATGCAGACTGTGAAATAGCAGCAGCTGTTTTACGTTCTCAGTGTGAACAAGGAACCGGTGTACTTAGGGAATTTGTCATAGATGCCATCACAGCTTTTTGCTCTTTTGACAAAGCCTTCTGGGAATTCCACAAATCTTATCGCAGCTGGGAGCCAGGGAGGCTGCCTGTGTCTGCCAAGACTGTGACCTATACCTAGGAGAAATAATAGTGCCTGTGCCCTACAAGTATGTATTCCAGTGCCATAGCATTTCTATGTGGTTTTTGCACCTCAGATTGAGTCTGCGTGTGATAAATACAAAGGAAAACAAGCTGAAGATCTATTACTTGTTTGCAGGGGACTTAACTGAACCTGTTCAATCCTGTTGTCCAAAGAACCAGGTTTGAGTAGGATAGACAGGTCGATAGAACCAGGTTTAGAGGCTATGTGGTGAGTACATGCCCCAGGGCACTAACTGTGGTGCCATGTTCCTTTCCATTTGCACTGTCCCTGAATTTTGAGCAGTCTTGTCATGCTGTCACAGCATGTACTGCAGGTTTCACTTGGTTGCAGACTTACTATGCATACATGTTTCTCCATGCATTGCTAACCCTTTCCATCTCCTCCTACAGTGAGTTTCCCTCAGCCTTCACCAGCAAACCCAAGATCCCTCGCACTCCTGAAGTGCAGAGTGCCAGCCCTAGAAAGGGAAAGATCCCAGCAATTGCCCCCCAGTTCTCTCAGTCTGGACCCCAACAAACAAGCCGTCCTAGCTCCTCAGGATCATCCACAAGGAGCAGACAGAGTAAGTGGAAAAAGTCATCATTTTGTCAGTCCTTGGGGTGGGAAAGGAGGGAGCACTGTAGTAGCTCTCCAGGAATGAAGTCGTATGCTGCAAATGTGCCAGGAGTATATGACATGGTACTTGTCACCTGCAGGATGTAGAACCACGTAATTGTATCCTGATGAACACTGCTCCTATTTCCAGGCTGTCATGTGAGCAGTTCAGAGACGTGGGTTTTCCTGTCTCTGAGTGGAGAAAAGTGGCCCAAATTCTCAGAAGTTTGGGGGGAAGGTGCTAGTCTCAGATTAGACTTTCTCTGGATATCATTAGACTTTTTCCTTTTCTGTAGACACTTGTTCACTCCACTGTGTAACTTGTTTAAAGTTCTTGAATTTGGATCCCTGGGTGTGTCTATACAACTGAATGTAGACCAGATGTCAGGCAGTTCAGAAGATGGGCTCAGGGCAGCCTGGTAAGCAGACAGCCAAACCTGGTGTGCGGCTTGTGGCAGTCGTCATTCTGCTGGAGACTTGTACTTAAGAACCATGTGGATGTGTTGTTGCCTGGAGAGGTTTAAGCAGTACTAGTTTGCAGCAGGCTCAGAAGAGAGGAGGGCTGTGACTTGAGGTTAGAGGGAAAGGATGGAATCTTGCTTTAAGCCAGCCAACACAAGCCCAGTAAAGTAGAAATGTTGATCTCGGATGCTCACACAACAGTAAACACATGTATGGTGTGTAAGCTGTGGGGGGATTTTAGGGGAGAGGAGGAAGAGAGATGCATTCTTCATTAACGAGTAAGCTTTTTCTCTGGAGTGTGGATAGGACTACCTGGATTCAAATACACCTCTGGGTCCATCATGTAGTGTATACTCTATATCCATCATGCTGTACACTCTTATTCCAAACATATTGTAAGAGGTTTAGTCATGATTATTTGATCACAATGTAACATCAGCTCTATTCTTTAGCTGTAACTGTTGTCTTTAAACATTTCACAAAAACATGGTGACTCATAATACCTTGCAAACCTTCCCAAGGAATCTGAGGTATGTGTGTATCGTTAACTCCTCATTACAGGTAGGGAAAATGAAATGCAGAGAGTTTAAATAACCTAGTAAATCAGCAACAGAGCTGGAAAGAGCTTCCTAAGTCTTTTGTGTTGCTCACTCGCTGTCATTCCACACAGTTGCATGTGCAGGGAGATGGGGTGGTGTCATTCGGGGGGGGGGTTTTTGGGGGGGGAGGAGTACAGGTGAGGCAGTGGAAAGGAATGTCCTTGGAGGTTAAGGAAGGTTTTGACCTAGAGAGTACTTGCTTGAACAGCCCTGTGCTTAGGCAATACTGCCAGCTCTTTCAGCTTTACTTTTGCTGCTTATGCCCGGTGTTTTACCTCTGACATCAATGCTTTCTGTTTCCTGTGATAGAAGCACTATTCTGCCCTGACTAAATGTGGTGTTAACACCAGAGAGTCCCTGGTTCCTGTTTCGGTTCATTTACAAAAGCATTAGACCACTGAAAAGGAAAAGCACTGCTGAAGAAGGGAAAAGCACAGTATGTGTGTGTGTGCACACAAAAACTGCTCTGCATTTTCCAGTTTCTCCAGGGCAGCTTTACGCTCCTGAGTGCATGTGTCCTATGAAAGATGTGACATACATATATTGCTCTCATAGGGCTCTGGAGTAAGTTCCTTTTCCAGTGGCCCAGTGTATAATGTATTTTATTTTGAAATTGCATTGAAGCAGAGAGTGATCAGAGTTCTACATCGCTTGGGTTTCTCTGTTGAGTCAGTATATGTCATTTTAAGTCCAGACTCTTGGACTCATCTAACTTTTATTGGATAGGATTTGCCTTACACTATACCTTTTATCTTTGCTGTGTCTGTGTATCCTAAAGCTGAATGTATTGCAGGCATCACACCTTACTGTGTGTCCGTTTACCTTTTCTCCTGAGTTTTCTGTTGGGGTTCCAGGTGATTGTTTTCTATCTGTCCACATGTGCCATGAGACAGACTTGGTGTCAGCAATTGAATATTACACTCTTACCTTCCTGCTAAAAATAACAACTCACTTTGTGTATATGTATTCTGCATTCTTGTCTGCTGTCACAGAGCACCTATTAGTTATTGTCCATCTTGCAGGGCCTTTCACACCGGTTTTTATGGTTGGGAAAAATGAGAGGAAGGTGATAAGGACTAGATTTTTAAAGGACTAAAAAGGGCTTTAAGCACCTATGTCCAAACCCGAGGTTCTCAAAGGTAATTAAATTCCCAGCCTTTACTTAAAGGTGCAGGGAGCCATGTGAAGCAGGCGAGCACCTAATGTTTCCCTAGTAAAAGCTCTGTGTTACTGTTCCTTTAATTTCCTAGCTGACTTTTCTGTAAGTCAAGAATGGTATCAGATGCATAGATACCAGCAATCAGTAGATTTCAGCAATTGCTACCTCCCATTTGCCTGCTGCATAGGTATGTAGGTTTTTACATATCAAGAGACTGTTCCAGTGGAAGACTGTCTTTAGTTTGTGGATTTCTTGGTATTTCTGGAGAAATGCAAGTTTTTATAGCTGATGGGCATGATGAGGAAAAGATGAATTTCTGATTGTAATTAACTTGATGTGCTTACTTATTTTAGAGACATTTTTAGCTTTCTTTTAATATTTATTATAGGTGTATTTTCTGAAAATAAGTTGCTTTTACATAAACTTAGCTGAACTAGCTGGACTGCTCCTCTTGGAGCATGGAGTGTGTGGAATGCCCGAGGAATGCAGAGGAAGCACAGATACTAAGTGCAGCTACAGGCTGGGGGCCAGATTCCTGCCTGAGATGTAGCCCACTGACGTTAGCTGAGCTCTAAAGCTGTACCTTAAAGCAAAACCAAGCTCCTCCAAATAAACCCAGCCATGCTGGGATTTTCTGTGGATTCTACTGCCTAGCTGGTACAGGGATGACACTGGCAGCACGGCTAGAACATAGGGTGGACCTCCAAATCTAGACTTCTCCAACTGTACATATGTGCTCCATGTGGACATGGTTAAATGGTTTGATCTATCCTGTTCCTTACCACACATCTGTTCCAAGCATCTCTGCATGGGCATGCTCAAGCTGTTTGTAGTGTACCAAGTTCTGTCTGTGGCACAGTGGAGCTAGAGTAGTACAAAATCTCTGCGAGAAGGATGAGGAATGACTTCTGTCAGGAATGCGATTGGGTCCTGGTGACTCCCTGCTCCTCCACAAGTTCTTTCAGTGTCCGCTGACAAGTGGCTACCATAAATACGTTCTGCATTTTTAAGTTGCAACATCAGTGGTTAAGGTGCCTTTGTGTGTGGTCTTTGTGGTGTTTGTGTCACTGTACAGGTTGAACAAGTGTTGCTCTCAGGCAGCTCCTGTCTTGTAATAAATCCCGCTTTCAGCTGACAGACCCTTTCTTGCTGTTTTTCTGCAGGCAGCCAGTCCTACAGGAAGTGAGAACAGTTCCTTTCCTCGAGAATCACCTGTCACACTGGTGAAGGACAGAGCCAGCTTCCTGTAATGAGCTTTACTGACGACCTGCTGAGAAGAGTGTGAGGTTATTGACATTGCATGGCGTGCATCTTGCACAGTGATTCAGGGGTTATCTGATGGGATGTATCTGTTGTTGTCTCTAAAGCCAGCTAAGACAAGGGCCTTGTTATTACAATTCAAGGTCTCAGCAGCAGCCCGGGACTGATACGGGAGATGGATATAGTCCCAATGTCTCCAATAGTTTACTCTAAAGTGACATTGCCACTTTGAGAAGAAACTCTTGCTCTCTGCCTTCTGTGTCAGAGTAAACGGCCTTTGGAGACAGTATGTAGGGCTCAGTACAGGGGTCTGACCAAGCAACTGTCTTGTTTACATATTGCTTGCTAAACTAGCCTGCCACTTGCTTTTTTTAAAATTATGCCTTAGTGAATGAGTTGGGAGATATCTGTGTTCAAAGGATCTGCACTAGGAGGGAAAATGTACGCCAGATGTGCAAAGCCTCCCCACCTGGAGCAGTCATGCGTGGAGTGAGATTTGTGTTTGGCCACCAGCGACTGGAGAGAAGGTGTTTCATCAACTTCTGACTGACCTGTAGCAGTTGAAAAACACTGTGCCAGTGCCCAAGGCAGCATCCATGCTTACCTCTGAGAATCTGATCAGCAGCTTTATCTGCAGCAATTACTCCTATTCCTTCTTCCTACATTTTTTTCTTAATTCTACTGTTTAACATTTGTGGAATGAATAATCCATTTTTTCCACTGGAATAAAGAACTTTGTTTCTTCATTAACAGAAGAAAGCATGTGAACAGATCAGAAGCAACGCACTCTTTTTACATGGGGCTGTGGACAATCCTCTTCGGTCTTTGTTGCTTTTTTTATGTTCTTCACTTCTGAGCGATGACTGGTTATGTCTTGATGGAATTTGTGCTGGTCTTCAGTGACTATGAAGTGCTGGCTAGGCACATGAGATCAGTAAGCCCTCTGCCAAATAAAGAAACAGCAATTAGTTCTGACAGTGAATTATGAATCTAATGCTGTTTGTTGGTCTTTCTCTCAGAAGTAACAGTTACCAGGAAATGCTGAAGTCTTCACTGGGAGTTGGCTTTTCAGTAACGTCCTCTCATGTGACTCAGTCAACAAGAGCAACAACTTTTCCAGAAATGCAGTTTACTTTGGAACTTGGCTGCCACTGAGGCAGAAACACACAAAAAGCAGGGATTGTATTTGTCATAGGCAGATTTCAAAAGCAAATGCTTTAACAGGTACAAAAAGTGAGAAGGTAAGCCTTGTGTTTTGGAGTTTCACCTTGAGAAACAAACAAGTGGAACACAGCCTGAAACATAAAGCAACTCCAACAGCAACAGTATCTTCCCCTAGAATGAAGACTTGTAAAGCCACCAATCGTTTCCATAGCACCAGAAGAAAGCTTTATGCTTCTCCCGAGACCTTAAATTATGCCTTTTGGTATGTGGTGGCAACTGAAGGGCCAAGGCTATTTCCTCATGTAATGTAGTAGCCATGAGACCACCAAGATCAGTGATGCTGTGTCAGATATTTGCAGAAAGGGCTCCCACGCACAAGATCAGGTAACCTCTTTGGATAATAGACTTAAAATTGGAATTGGGATGTTTTGTAGGAGAAAACATCTTCCAGTTTAAAATTTAGTCATATTCACATGGGAATTACAATTTACTGCTTGGTAACTTCAGTCCATAGGCCTAACAAAAGCAAGCAGAGTATGGGTGTTGCTTTAACTCCCAAACTACATAGGACATAAAGTGCTTATAGACACTTGATAGCCCCTGTCACATAGATCTCCATGCTAGACAAAGAAATCACAGAAAATCTCTGATTTGTGCTTAGATTCATCCCCCTCTTCTCAGGGCTGATAAACACAATTAATGGAAAAATGTCCTCTGGTTCACAAAAAGGCAGTAATGGAAAACAGCCATAAAAACTCACCTAGTGGTTTTCCAGGATAGGCAGCTTCTGGTTTTCCTCTGAAATGCTGTCTTTTTTCCAGCATGTAATATCAATGGCCAGGTTGTTAACACTGAAGTGCTAAGCACATCCATTTGCATACAAGGAAAACACAGGATGCTCCAGCAGCTGAGTTTTATTTATTTCACAGCGGTGCTGAGTTTCATGTTGAAGCAGATCTGATTGTCTGAGATGCAGAGCAGCTTTTGAAAAGCATTCAGTGCAGACTGGGGGTGGGGATGGGGGGTGTTGAGGGAACAACACAACAACCCCAAAACCACACTGGCTTTACCATTAGTTGAGGTCGAAACAGTATCACTCCTTGCAAGTCAGCTGAAGGTGGTTGGTAGGTACGGATACAACTGCTCCAGCGGGTCAAGATCCGTGAAAAGCAAAATGCATCTTGCAGAACTGGACTGAAAAGAACAAGCTGAAGTTTATGTACTTGTGTGTTTTGTTTCTTACTTGGGCCTATTTCACTGCAGAACTCTATATGTACATTTTCCATGTTCAACTCTTTTTTTGGAGTGTAAGTATAGAGTTTGAAAACTGAGACTATTTTTTGTATTAATGCTTGAGAAACTTCATTTTCCAAATACTTGAAAGAAACCGTGGATATGCTTAGAAATAAATTATCAACTGAGCAGTAATTTGGGAGGCCAGTGAAGTAATGTGTCTCCTTTTCTCTGTCTTGTTCACAAAAAGCCCCTCTGATGCCAGTCGGAAGGTTTTGAACTCATGAATAATGTTGATTCTGCCTTTGTTAATAGGACTCCACTATTTGGGGTTGAAAGGTTCCTGGATGGAGGTCAGTAACACACACATAGCAAATTCTGCACCTCACTCTTAAAAGTTGTTAGGTATTTTTTGCTTATGCCATGTAGAGGCTGCTGCTAGATGCAACACCACCCTGGTAAATTCATAGCAGGAGCAGTGGAACTTGCCTGCCTGAATGAGAGGTGTGTGATTGTACTTGAAGTGGCTGTGATTTTGTTAACAATAAGCAAATACAGTTACTGCATATGGCACACAGATCTGTAAGGGAAGTTTTTCTGGAACCAGAGTGCTATGTGGTGCTAGCATGCCTTTTGGATATAACTTCTCTATATTCAGTGTAATTTTGTTTATGGACAGTGTTATACAGGACATAAACTGCCTAAGTCTATTTAAATTTGCATGGAAGGCTCCTTCTGTGCAAGTGCTTTAAAATTATCTGTCAGTGACTAGGTAAAAAAGCCTCTGAAAGGTTTGGTTTTTTTTTTTACCTTTCTCTTTATGATAGGTTTGTTTGGGGTTCGTGAACTTTTAGGGTGTGCATTTGTTTACATTTCACTATTTTATTATCGCCAAATTCTGTCCCCAACAGTTTTGTCTCCACGTGGGTTGAAAACACAGCTCCCTTCTCTTCAGCCTGGCCTGCGTCTGCAGAGGTAGCACTGTTTACTCAAAAGTGTTGCAAAGCAGGCATGAACCACTCGTCGTTTGTGCCATGTCATGAGGAGAGCCCAGGCATTTGGGATGCCACTGGAGATATTGGTTTGGTGTCAGAAGTATTATTTGTCAGAGGATTTAAGTGTGTACGTGAAGACAAGCAAGGAAGTTCTCTGCAGAAAAATTATTACCGTGATGGAGAGGGACAGCGGTTTCTTGGTTTGGCTTTGAGTTGTTTTCGTTAAAAGAAGTTCCTTAGTCTTTATAAATCATGGTGGAGGTTACAGTGTAGAGATAAGAAGTGCTGCATTGCATTCCTCTTTGAGTAGCAGTAGCAGAAAAGCAAACAGGCTGCCTTCCTCCAGGTGTTTAAGTACATCTAGGCTTACCTTTTAGCTTGCGTCTTGAATTCGTCTTTGAGCCAGAACTTCCTGGCAGTTTGGACCGTCCTCACACATTCTTGCAGTCTGGGTTGGTATTGGAACAAGCCCTTTTCCCAGAGAGGAAATGTTGGAGAGCTGGGAGGTGTGCCTTGCTCAGGAAGTGTAATCCAACCAGGGAGTGTGTGAGCCCTGCAGGCCACCTTGGACACAGCTGGCTGTGCCGTGTGGCACGCTGAGCTCAAGGAGGTGTGTGGGCATGGCTAGCAAAGAGGTTATAGATGTAGCCTTGCAAACCTCTGCTGGGCCCAGTGGGAACTAATTCCCAAAATACCTCTGTGACTAAGCCATGTGGGCTTCTCCAGGCCATGCTGCACTTTCCTAACCTCTGCTATTCCTATAATTTATAAAAGAAGTGGGACTCTTGGGAATTTATCAACAGGTGAGAAACAGCAAGACGTTTCAAGGCAAACAAAACAGACTGTAAGACCAGACTGTTCTGGCCAAGCTGCATGGGAATCTGCTGCTAACAGATTTTAAAAAGAAACCAACTTCTGCGTGCAGAACATAGAACATTGTCCTACTGCATATTTGGACTAGTAATTCTTCTAGCCTGGCATCTTGTCAGTGGTTGGGATCTGATGTTTCAAAGCAAGTTTCTTCCCAACTCCAGGCTGCTTTCTACCCTGCAGTGGAAGGGCATTGTATTCAGTTACAGGATCACGATCCAAATTTCCGCTCTTTAAGGATCTGATGCTCTCCAAACAACAGGCTGAGTGGCACACCCCAGGACATCTAATAACTTTCTGGAACGTGTCCTCCTTTTATTGCAAGTTCTCTCAGCAGTCCTTGGCATATGGTCCAATTTTCCAAGAAACTAGGGCAATAATTTATTGCGGTGAAAGTGAAAACGCTTTACACAAATCCAGGTGACAGCTTTAAAGGTTTGGTTTGTTCTTGTCTTCTTCAAATGTGAGAAGTGCTGTTCTGATTTTAAGCCCACAGGTTCGGGGAGTGTCCGGTATTTTGCTCACTCTGAGTGTGAGTGACCTAGCACTGTATTTAATTTAAAAATGGTTTCCAGTATGTCTTGCTGGTTTTAATTTTAAAAGTCTTTAAAGTACTACTTAATTTTAATTATTTTTCTTTTAATGATGCTGAGAGCTAATAAACAGTACAAATCAAGGTAAGTGGATGCCTGAAACAATAGCATTCCTCCTGCAGATTTTAAGGTAATGATATATAAGGCTGGCAGCTATGAACGCAGAGGCCATCTGAAAATCCCTCAGTAGGTGGTCTGATTTTAGGAGGTGAAGACGCCTCCCTCTGCTGCTCTCAAGGAGAATTCTGGCCATTGACAATCCAGATTTCGTTACAGACACATAGTCCTCTTTCTCTGAAGAGTGAAAAAGTTGAGCTAACGTGAGGATGGGGTGTAAGTGCTGGAAATAGCAGCTCTGTGCCAAGTGATACAGTTCCTCATTTGGTCTGCCATGTGCCGGTCTGACCGCCCTAGCCCCTGTCTGGATCCGGTTGATTGTTGGCAGACGTTGAATGCTTCCTGAGAACAAATCACTTTATTGTTCATGTCTGCTCATGCACTGCCTTTTGGGAGCGTGGTTCATGTTGGTAGTGAGAAGCAGGACCATTAGCACCAAATGAATTCTTTGTCAAGCAGCATGTCTCACTGAAATTTTTACCCTTTTCTCCAACTGCTTTCCCCCTGGATCAAATCTGCAGTATCCTAATGGACTGGCTCCTGTTAAGCAGAAGACTTGTTTATTTTTTGTTGTTAACTTGGCAGATTGTGGCCTGCCATGATTTTCCACAAAACTGGCTCCTTTCTTTTTCCTCCTCTTCCAAGTGAGCAGCTGGGAACTGAAATGAGACAGCTCTGGGGCCTGAGGAAAACAGTTCTGTTTCGATTAAGCCCCTTCCATCCTCAAGCCCCGTGGAAACTGAGCTGTTTGAAACAGCCAAAATTTCCATCCTAACTGCACCAAAAGCTCCATGCCAGGGAGCTCCTAGTCATGAGCCACCACCCCAGGGAGTGGTTCACAGGCAAAGTACAACAGCAGTTCCGAAGGGTCCCATCACTCCAGCCATGACCTGGCAATGCCAGCTACAGCAGCCGTCACTGCCCGGTTTCTGCCCAGATCCGGGGACTGGGACTGTCTGGAGCGGCTGTACCAGTGTAGCCACACAGCAACTGGGGGCCAGTAATAGACTGGGAGCCAGCACGACTGGTCCCATAGCTCGTAGTCAACCTCAGCGCTTATGTGACGTCAGGGCACGAGCAGCTTGGCCCGTAACTAAGGCTTTTAGGTGCTACCGCTATACACAGTAGCAGCAAGAAGTATTTGGCTTGCTTCTCCCAAAACTTAAAAATTTGATCTGGTTGAGTTTTCAGTCATGGAGCTGACCTGAAGTTTAGTGTCGTCTCCTCACTCAAATTCAGGACCTGACTCTTGCAGAACATAGTTCCCCATTTATGCAGAATGGGAGAGAAATTATTTACTTTTGATTCATTTTTCACATAGATTAAGAACTTTGTGTTTCCTATACTATAGTTTAAAACATCAGCGTGCTTTGGGCAGGGGCAAGGAGAGAGCATCGTAAGGCTGTGTTTCCCTCTAACCCTTGTTATCCTCAGGAATCTGAAGATCCAGGTGGTGAGGATGCAGGTTTTCACAAAGCTGCACTGAGCGTTGCAGGAAGGTGGGTCTAAGGGATTGTGAATGTCCACAAATCTTGTGGGGGCTTCTGAGGTTCTCTGAAACCACCTTTACAGCAACTAAAGTAGAAGCCAGTGTCGACAATTGTATGTCACTTCCCAAGAACCCAGAAATGACAGCAATGAGAATGGATTTCATCTCAAGTGCCAGCAGGGTGTCTTGGCTCCTGGACTGTGTTCACGCGTGGGGCAGAGACCAAGGCTTTTTAACCAAAACCAACCCAGTTGATCTTACATGTTTCTGGTAACAATAACACATTTGTAATTGTGGAATCTGATCTGAAAAAAATGTATATCCTTGCTGTAAATCTCATTTTTTTCATTACTTGTTGCTGGTGATACAAAAGTATGTCCTTGTTTCAACCCAGTCCAACTTCCCCCAAGCGGCTCTGGGGAGGCAGCTGGTTTTCTACAAGCACTCTCCTGGCTAGCAGCAGGGGATGTCTTTGTGGAAAGCTGATTATTTTATTCAGGTGCCTGAAATGAGTTTCAGAAGGAACCTCAACACATGCATAAAAATCTGGCCCTTTATCCTGCAGCAGTGGCCTCTCTGAATAAGTGTCCATGTTCCTTCCCTCGCTCTAACTTTGTGCTTCGTTTGGGGGGGGTTGCTTTATTTTTTCCTGCAATGGGAATTATTCCGTAGGGCTGGATCATGTTCATGCATTACAGAGGCAAAGGAGGCTTTGAAAGGTGCTCCCAGGCTGGAGCTCTCTGAAAATTGGCTGGTTGCTTGGTGCTTGTTGGCTGTAGCCCCTTTCCTTTCACCTGTACCACAGCCTCTTCCTGCAGCACAGACCTGATCCCAAAGAGATCCCAAAGGAGAGAGCTTTTCCCTATCTCTGGTATTATGCAGGAATCTCCTTCCTTTTGTGCTGGGGCTGATTAAAATCTGTTATTAGCTTTTACCTTCTGACTTCTGGCGCCAGTACTTTATGCAAAACCATTTCCTAACAAGAACAGGGCAAGTCAGCCAATGCAAAACTGTTTCCTAAGGAGAACAGGGCACGTCAGCCACCGAAGTGTTACATTGCCAACCCATGAGACCTCTGTGCTTCATTAGATGCTTCTCAAACCATTCCTGGGCAA